CATAATGAAGTTTAATGGATTTTAGTTTGTTCTAATCCTTTATTATACACTTGTTGGATTGTTCAAATTTGTCATAATAACTTATCGTAATGATTTTGTATAAGATTCAAATGCTTTTACCTTATAATTTTAAAAATCCCTTTAAGTAATTATTAGGATGATTGTGTACATCTTTACATATCAATTTCGTTGCAGTGTACCCAATCAAAAACTTAGTAGTCTAAGAGATCGATTAGATAATTAGTTGGCTAAAGATTTTTATAATTTCTATATTGAAAATACACTAATGATAGCTACCGTCAAACAACTGCAAACAATACATGATTTAGAAACCACAGAGAAAATTTTCAAGTTAAGATAGCAAGGGAGATGATTAGGGGTGTAAATGATGCGAGTCGAGCTCGAGTATCAGTATACTCGATTTGAACTCGATAGCCATTTCTCAAGCTCGAACTCGACTTGAAAACTTGCGAGTGGTTAAACTCGACTCGAACTCGATTGCAATTTTTTAAACTTGTTTGAAGCTCGAACCAAGCTCAAACTCTTGCTCGAACTCGAACTCGAATCAAGCTCACCCGTCGAAATTTATAAAATTGTAAGGTTTTCTCTCATAAATTATAAAGCTTAAAGGTATTCTTTTATATTTTAAAAACTAAAGGGATACACCTCAAACTTTATCATCAAAAAAGACAAAGTTACAAACTTCATTCAAATCCCTCTCTTTTTTATAACAACTCTTCATACTTCTTTTACTATCTCTGTTCTAATGTGGGACAACTTCACCAACACTTCCATAGTTTTTTTTTCTTTTTTAATTATGATTTTGATTAAAAAAATTATTGATCTAGTTTTATAATTAAAGACATAACATTGTTCAAATATCTAAAAATATAAGACATTTTTATTACATTATATTTTTACATATTATATTATAAAACTGATTATATTTTTAAAACTAATTATATATAAAAAATCGAGTATCTCACTAGCTATTCGAGTCGAATATTGGATAGCTCGACTCGACTCGTTAATATGTCGAGTTGAGTTCGAGTTTGAGCCGAGCCTATTCGAATCGAGTGTTGATCGAGTTTTAACTAAATCGATCTTGAATAGCTCGCGAGTTGACTCGTATTATTTACACCCATAGAGATGATGACCGAATTAATGCACAAAGAAGGTCCAAATCTTGTATCAGATGTTATCAAACTTAAAATAGAATAAAGTATTCTAAATAATTAAATTAAAAAAATATATGAAATAAATAAATCATAACAATACACATATAATCCACATTTTTATTCCCAAGGCTAACCGACATAAATTAAAAAATAATTAAACCATATTTGATATTATAATCAAATATATAATTATTTTCCAATTAACAATTGTCTGAATCATCTTTCAAAATAGATTTGAATTTAGCATATATCATCCACATGTACAAAAGCTCACTATATAATCATGTATTAATTGATACATGCATGTTACCAAATCTTCGTAATTAACAACTGATTTATCTCATCGTTTAATAATATTATTAATGTCAACATTATTTTATTTGGATAATAAAGGCACAAATATCTTCTGTTATTATTTATGGTATATTTTAATCATTGTGTTGTGTTATTTTAAATATTTAAAACCCCTCTAGTATTATCCGATGCCCATACCTTTTGATTCAGTGGAGTCATTAAACAATTGGGCATGCTTTAAGGGTGGAATTAATTGGCATGAGGTCCTCTTAATAATTCTGTACTTTTATTTAATTATAAAAACTAAAAGATTAAGCTGAAAAGATTCAGTTATAAGTAAATAACTATATATGATATTTTCATTCTAGTCATATAAATTCTGTAACCTCTACTATTGGCTCATCCACTCACTTGTACAGTTGAACTTATAAATAATTAATTACTGTAATAAAAAATTATTTTAAAATAAAGTAAATACAAAACTAGATTATAGTTATAAATTATAATATAAAACATTAAAAATCAATAAGATTTTGTTTTCCTACACCATCATAAGTTAAAGCAGTGGATTGTCCTAATGACTTAAAATCCGATTTAACATGGTGGTCAAATTTATTGTTAGACCATAATTTTGCCCATAACTTTAAGGTATGGAGCACTCAAATCTAATTTTATTAATGTTAGACAGATATCGTCAGACCTTTTATAATCTTCCTTTTTTGTACTTTATTAGAAGAGTACTCGCGCAATGCATCGAGACATATCTCGATTTTAATGTTATATTTTATTATTTGTCTCTATCAATGTTATAATACGATTTTATGTGTTTTTAAGAATTCAATAATGATTTTATTTTTTAATAAAATATAAATTTAAAGATATTATAAAATTTTAAAAAAATATATACCAATGTTAACATCAAATCAACTATTTAAAAGTTCTCATTTTTTATGAAATAATTTATTTTTTGTTTAATATTATAAATTTTATAAAGATAATAATTAAGTATTCTGTTATAACTCAATGATTATTCTAATTATATTTTAGATTTTTTTATATTTAAAATGAGATGTTTATCCTGTATTTGATTATGTTTATCTGCAATTAGTTATACGAATTTAGATATGAAGCTTTAATAAGTTGTACTTACACACAATCTACTTGTAGTCTTGAGTTTTAAGTAACATGCATTAATAGACAGTACTTTATGCATAAGAAGTAGTTTTTAATAGTTTTTGTCAAATGCTTTATAATATAACTAGAAGAGTACTCGCGCAATGCAGCGAGATACATCTCGATTTTAATGTTTTATTTTATTATGTCTCCGTCGATATTATAATACGATTTTATGTTGTACCGAAGTGATAATGTTTTTATTTTTTTGAATAAAAATATAAATTTGAAGATATTATAAAATTTTGAAAAAACATATATCGATTTTTGTATCGAATTAAATATTTAAAAGTTCTTGTTTTTTGTATAATTTCTTTAGTTCTATTTTTTATTATAATTTAATTTAGATTTAGTAATGAAGTCATTTATTTTTAGTTTAATAATATAATTATTTTATAAATATAATATTTAGTATTTTGAATTCAATGATTATCCTAAATATATTTCAATTTTATATTTAAAATGAGATAATTATCCAGAATTTAATTATGTTTATCTGTAGTTAGTTACACAAATTCAAATATGGAGGTTTAATAAGTTGTACATACGGATAATTTACTTACAATCTTGAATTTTAAGTAATATGCATCAATAAACATTACTTAATGCATAAAAAATGGTTTTTCTTAAATATTTTTATCAAATACTTTATAATATAGTATAAATATAGATAATCACTGATGTAACTTGTAAGCTTCATCTAAAATATTACGAACACCTCTCTCTCTCTCTCTCTCTCTCTCTCGATGACTCATCATGACTATTTGATAACATCATCTCAATTGATCATTAGCCACTTCATTCCCATCTCCCTTTCCTCAAATCTCCATTGAAAACATTATTATTTATCTTAAATTATTTTACATAAATTATGATTTTATATTTAATTTGTTTTTTTAAATATATAAACAGAAAAGTTCAGGACTATTGGTCCGGGAGAAAGTCTGACCCGTTTATAAGACAGGTAATGAGTGTTGTCATATTAAGTCAGTTAGACAAGAAAAAGGGTTAAGTACAGTGCAAACCGACAAAAATCCGTAAATGATCACCTTTACATAGGACATTGTACACACACTACAATGGAATTTCTTTTATAGGACGTCTAGAATGTCTAGCGTCCTAATAGAATATTTTATAAAACTTAAATTTATGAGACCAAACAGTTAAATGTCATATCTAAAAGTGTTGTAATAGGTCTATTGGATATTTTTGGGAGTTATAACAAGTTTTTTAGAACATTTTTAAAATAATGTCATAGTAACTATTTTATATGACGTTTCTGAGAATTGTCCTATAAACTCATCTTTTTATATGACACTTGTGTTTATCTGACACATTTTCAAAGAGTGTCGTATAAAACATCTAGTTAATCAATTTATTTTAAAGGTATCCTAAAAACTTGTTGAAACATTTAAAAGTGTCAAATAAACATGTAACAGTTTTAGATAAAATGTTTTTTGTTTTCACTACAACAAAACTAATTTTATAGAACGCTTAAAATGTAGAAGCTTCCTAAAAAAAAATACTTTATAGGCTTTATGTTTGTAAGACCAAACCAGAAAGCGTCATAAAAAGTGTTACAATATGTTTATAGGACGCTTTTAGGCGTTTTAACAAGTTATTTAGAACGTTTTTAAAATAAATTATCATACTAACTATTTTATATGACACTATTTGAAAAAGTGTCCTACAAACATAAGCGTCCTATAAAATTATAGAATACTTCTTAAAGTGCCATATAAAAGAGATAATATGATATTTTATTTTAAAAGCGTTCAAAAAAATTGTTAAAACCGCCAAAAACATCTTATAAAACTATATTTAACGATTTTAGATAAAATACTTTATAGTTAGATCGTATAACCTAAGTTTTATAAAGTATTATATTAACACGCCTAAACAATTTAGGCTTCATATAAAACCAATCTTATTATAGTGAATTTGGTCATATAAACTTTGGTATGTAAATATTTTTCCCACTTCGGGTAAGGTGACTTGCGAATTTTTTTGTCTTAGTTCTTTTTTATTAAAAATAATATGTAAATTTTAACATATATATTTTAATTAAATAAATTAATACATAATATATAATAAGGGTTAAATATAAAATTTTACAAAATAAAGGATATAAATAAAAATGAAAATGTAAGTTGGAGGGTAAAAATTGTAAATTTACAAAATCAGATTTTTTAAAACGAGTGGGTCCCACACAAACAAACTTATTTCTACCAATAAAACTAAGACTAACCTATTTTTACAAACCTTTTTCAAAACCAACCTATTTTTGCAAAAAACTCTCTCTTAAACAGGTTATTTTGTTTTATATTAAGGAGATTTAAGTGGAGATCTCATGAATTTGGTACCACTTATCGTAATTGCATATAATACATTAACTTTGGAGGGATATGAATACTCCTAGAAGATTACATATATATGGAAGCAAATTCATACATGCATGCCACCTGATAGCAATATATACGTCGAGACAAGTACAACCCGTAAACTCCATCGGGATAATTTATTACACCAAAACAAAGTTGAACAGTTTAAGCAAACAATTAGTTGCATCGCATCCACTGCTCACAGTACTTTATGGTACCAGTATGTACCCTTGTGCTCGCTATCTTGATCCGGTTCAATGTAGATGCATTCTTTGGCCTCCCTCCACATTGCTTTGAAAATTGGAGTCCTGTCGATCTTATAATAYTCGCCCAAAACAGGCTTGATTGCATCYCTTGCCTCCTTRGCATGATAATGTGGAATGTATGAGATCAAATGATGCAAYACGTGAGTGTGTGTAACGTCATGAAAAACCCTGTTTAGGAATCCAAAGTCCCTGTCGATTGTCGATAAGGCTCCTCTGATCCAGTTCCATTCAGTTGAATCGTAATGAGGCAAAGAGAGATGGGTGTGATGCAGATAAGTGATCAAAACGAAGAAAACATGTACGCCTACCACCGGAATTCCATACATGCAAATTACCCAAGCAGCTCCTTTTGCTGCTACAGCAAGCTTGATTGCGTAAAAAACGGCAAGAAGACCAAGATCAGATATCAGAACCTGAATTCGTTCACGCTCAGTGAAAATAGGACTCATTGGATCAAAGTGGTTGGCAAACCTTCCATATTTCTTGCCAGAAATATTAGTCAAGAGGTATAAAGGAAATCCTAGGGTCAACCTAAACACCAAGGTGAAGACTCGACCAGGTGGGTTGTTGAGAAGTTTTGAATAATTCCTGACCTTGGACTTACGTTTAGGAATGTAAACYTCATCATTATCGAGCGAATTTGTGTTGGCATGGTGATTTCGATGGCTGTATTTCCAAGAGAAATAAGGGGTAAAGAGAGCAGAATGGAGGATGAATCCAACAATGTCACCAATCCACTGCTGCTCACTGAAGGCATGGTGACCACATTCRTGACCGATGACCCAYAAGCCAGTGCAGATGCTAGCTTGGCAAAACCAGTAAATGGGCCAGGCTAGGAAAGCTAGAGGAGTAGGAAGAAGAGGAATATATGTGTTGGCAAGGAAGTAAAAGACGTAGGCAACAATGAGATCATGAACAACATAGTAAGATGAACGGATGAGAGATCGTTCGAAGCAATGAGCCGGGATTGCTTTCTTTAGATCACTTAAGGTGAAGGGAGGATCGACAGGAACACGATTGAGAATATCTTTGCCTTCAGATGAATCCAACATCCGACCGCCTGCACCCATGCTGCTGATATCTGATTAACCTGCAAATTAATATCAGAAGCAATATAAGATTTATGTACACCAAGGATCGAGAGACTACAAAATTTTGAAGCTCTAGAAAGAAAGAGACCTCAGAGGAGAGAAGTTCTTGGTTGGAGTTCTCTTCTGCTGGTGATTCTTTGGGGTTCCCCGTGCTTCATATTTATAATCAAGAGTTGCCAAAATTCTTCGCTAATTTGCTCTGCAAGTGCCGACGAATATTATAGTCGCCAACTACCATAATTGAATTTTCCTACAAATTTTGACCGTGTAGCCGACGCCAACTCTCCACTTGAAAGCTCAGTGCGTGGTATGCATTTTTACAATCATTCTTGTTTTTCTAATTTATTGTTACAGTTTTACTATTATTATTGGATCGACAAATTAAAATATTATTTCATTATTTTATAAATAACAAAATTTTGAAAAATATTTGATTTAATTATTAATTATTTTTTAATTTATTAATTAATTAAGGTATGTATGATAAAAATTGATTGTATTCATGTTGTATATAACGTTATTTTGTTTTAACAAAAACGAGCAAACAATCAATTATGAGTATGAATATTTAAAAACGTAGGAACGTCCGGGAACAAAGTTCTTTCCCCGTCCCGGCGAACAGAGAAGAAACACGACTCCCGCGCTATATATTATGGGCAACCGTATTCGTATATCACTTAACCTAATGTATATAAGTGTTTTTGAGACGCCACAACATGTCCTTACATAATCGTCTAGCTTCAAATGGCTTGAACAATCACCAAACAGTCCGCCTCGACGATCATTTTATCCCAATAATTAGTAACAATCCAGCTCAATGCTTTTTTCATCCCCATTGCCTCCGGATTACCGTGTCTTCTATTCCTCTCTAACTATTCCTTCGTAGCCCAACTACTTTACCTTCATGGTTTCGAGCCACACAATAAGACGAGAATCTCTCATCATTGGCAAAGAGTGTTGCATCTATATATGTTGATTTTAACGGTATCGTGACACCAGTGTTCTGCACCATCCTCTTCTGTCATGAAGCTTCTTCGTGGGACACTTTCTGAATCTTGAGCCGTTGTCCATTGGGCTAAAATATTATTTGATTCACTTTTGTTCGTATGGGTATGCTTTTGATTCCGAACCATATCATTTTTTGCCCTAGCCATAATTTCAGGTGTTTCTCTATAGATTGTCTCTTGAATCCATTCTCCAAAGTCCAAAGCCATCTTGACCATTCTCATTAAGCAGCCTCCTTAATCTTGTTTCTCCCCAACACTGCTTTGCAAAAGCATATCCGACCAACATACGGAAAGTTGTTTGCCCTTGTGTTACATACCAGAAAATGCAATGCAACATTATTTAATATCATAACTAAGTGCGGTTTTTTAATTCATATTTTGTTTCATCAATAACGGACAAATAATAATAAATAAAAAAAACTATCGGTGAAACATATTTTCTTGACTATTCTTAAAAATATTAATGTAGAATCGGTCTCTTGGTATTGTGTAGAATTTAGGTTAATTGGTTGTAGTCAAATCATTTCAAAATTTTAACATGTCTTCATTTCGTTGATCAAGCATACTGGAAGATCAATCGGCCAAAATAACTATGAGTGGCTACGATATTATAAGCTTCTTCAATTCTTCTTGACTGAATCTGTAACCTTCATTAGTAGATTCATTTTTTATGGTTATCCTTTCTTAATTAGTGTAACACACTCAACTACTCAAGAATATATGAGTTTAGATTCTTCATGTCTGCTAAAAACAATAATTCGTATTTTATTAAAATTCCAAAAACTACGAATACGATAATTTTAAAATTACATGAATAATCTATGTATCCTCAATCCAAACAAATAATGTAAGTACATGTTATCAATATGAATATAGACTAGGAAACAAACCAAGGGTAGTTCCTAAGGAACAAAACCCTGGTAGTTTGTAAATATATTGATATTATTTTGAGTGATTAAAAAAGAAATGTGAACAATTGATTGTACATGTATCTACTAAAAACGAATTATTGTTGGTTTCAAGTTGCATTATCATTATAAAAAGAGGACATTGCTTATCTGTTTTTTTAAGAAAAAAGTAAATTGATTTGGATCTTCAATAAAAAAAATTGAAGATCATATACTTACACAGTTAGATATGCGTAGAGGATTGGTTAATGGATTTTTGACTAATTATCTGTCCAAAAAAAGTCCAGTCAAAAAAAGGCGTAGCCAAACGAATGGTTATAAGCGAAAACCATTTTGATCCTAAATTTTGAACTTGGATCAATCATTCAATTAAAAGAAGTCTGGCTAAAGCCTACAAGTCCTTGTTAAACCAAAAGACCAGGTCAAATCCCCAAAAAACACTGGTTAAGACCATAGTTTCTACCCCAATTTTTTCATTATCACTATAAATTTAAAAAAATATCGAAACAATAATTTGTGGTCTTCAGTAGTGAAATTAATACAACAAAAAAATTATAACGTATTTTAAAGACGTGTCTTCATTTTTTTGTGGCTCAACTTTAAACTCAACACGCAACTAATGGAGTAGAGAGTTTAATAGAAGAAATATCAGATATTTTATATCTAAACACAATTCAATTTGATAACTTAAAGAGGTTAAAAATGATGAAACTGCAATTCCCGCGGTCCCGGAGTCCAACCCCGCACGGGTCCCTCTCCACAATAGTGACATGACCACCATGCTTACTCGAGCACTGGTCTCAGAATGAGAACATCAAAACTTCTCACTCATCAAATGACTAACTCATATGTTTATAGATCCAACGCATTATAGTCTAAATTACATGACTACAATTGACTAACCAATGCACTCAAAACATGTAATTCTCAAATAAAAATGTAATAAATATAAGTTAATAACTCCACATTTATTTCACTATTCAAATAAAAGACAACACAAAAAAAAGCATATTTAACCATCGTTTATGCTAACATGTGCTCCAAAAGTATGATTAACTTAAAACCCATCATTTGCATTTTTCAAATGAATCATACTATTTATATTTCCAAAATACCTAAGACCAATAATATGCATTTTCCAAACAATTTATAAAACCAAATACGTTAAAAGTGTATCGTCAAATAATATCCATTTATAAAGTAAACCATAAAAAGAACACACTTTTATGATTTATTTATCAAAATGTTCAAAAAAAACCAAATATAGGTATTTTACAAGATTAGTAAAATCAAATATAGCCAAAGATGCAGATTTCATCAAATAATCAACACATTTGATAAATATGAATAAAAAAAACATCTTTAAGATTCCAAAATGGACATTTTTTTACATGTACTTTGCTAGGTTATGTTAAACCTAGATTTCAAACCTAATTCTAGCTCCCATTGGTGAAAACTTGAGTTCCCAAAACTTGAGTTCCAGATCTAGGTTGCAAATATTTCAGGAACACTATCTTGAACTCCCACGCTCTAGTAAAACACGACAAAAGAAGAAGGAGGTTGAGGATGCAAAGTTACCAAACCCTAGATCCAAAAGATGGAAATTTAGATCTTATGTTTCAACTCCTAGGAGACTCCAATCACCAAGAAACTTAATCTTCTTCAATCCTCCTTCGAAGAGCTTCAAAAACGAGAATATAGGGTCCAAAATCACCAAAATGGAGAAGATATGGTCAAATGATGAAAAAAAAATCATTAATGTTGTTTTAAATTGTGAAACAGTACATTTGAAAAAACAACGTTTTTATGAGAATATTAACGTATGCTTATAAAGGCTACGAGCGTACGATGGTCCATGTTCAATAAAGAGACTACTTTTGTAAAAAGACCACATTTTTATTTACTACTTAATGTAACACTCCAATAAACCAAAAATGAATAAATAGGACACGTTAAATTTCTCAAAAGCCTCGCTTGTATAACGAATCATTCTCTTCGTTTTATCTGTTAAAATCATGACGTGACCTTTGAGTAGGACATACATAAATGGGTGGATCACAAAAATCGATTTGTACAACATATCTTGAGAAAGATCCTTGGATTATATCTCCGATCGACCGACTTCGGCATCTTAATTACTTCACTTGATTATAAATAAATGACATTGGCTTGTTACATATGTGGTGATTGCGTATCTTCGAGTACTATATGATCGATGAACTCCATTTTAATGAATTACTCACATGCTACTATAGACATGACATATATAACTCTAGTATTTAAGTCATGAAGGTGGACCATACATCGTTTTCCACATCCCATGATTTACGCTACCATCCAAAGATATTTCATTGGGGCACGCTCATCTAGGGATTCTTTTCAGTAAGCAAAATAAAGAGGTATTACCGGGTATCTTCTCAAGTAAACCTTCAATTCTTGATGTCGTAGTTAATTCTAGTCAAATTTGATGGGCCAAAGAGGAGAAGAATGTGCATGGTTCATAAATATTTGGAAATACCTCCGATTTAAATGGAATAAACAATTTTCGTTTTAACTTATGTGTGGTTTAATTTAAACTATTATGGTTTTTGTTTATATGATATGTTTAATTCTTTAACTATTTTCAAGGTCGTTAAAGTTAAAGGTTATTTGGTTTTTTTGTCTTTTCGATTTTCTTTCTTATTTTTATTAAACTGATTTCTTGGCACGCTTATAAGATACGGGACAACCAATTAATACACCCTTATGTTTTTCATCTCCAAGAGATCAAGACACCACCGTCAAATTCACTGACTCCCCTCCGCTCTCCTTCTGCGTTGCACCATCAAGAAATCCAAAACCATGTTCCTTCTTTATTTCAATCACCAAATAATTAGTAGAAACTTGAAACTTTGAATACCGCTTTCATAAACGTGAAACGTGAAAGTGAAACTCAGACCCATTTCCAAAAACTTGAAATTAGTTTTTATCTCAACTATCAAGAGCATACGGTAGATTTAAAAATTAAACATAAATCAAAAGCATACCGATTTTAGGTATGAATCTTTTGAATCGATGTAAATTGAAGTTTGAATGTTTTATTCAACATGTAATTTAAAGGGAAAGATCAAAGCTTTTGAACACTGCCCAACCACCGCTCCCCAACTGAGCAAAATGGAAATCGAACATAAATCGAAATCGAAGATTTGAATCAATTTAAATCAAAATTGTAAAATAAACAT